AAGGTCTGTAGATCGTCCGTGGATCCTGATACTTGTGCATTATCTGTCAACCAATAAACCATGCTTGAGCTTGCCTGTGATCGTTTCGAAGAATTCCCACTTCGCAAGTATGTTCCCGTAAATACTTGTGAATTACGAAGCACTCATTCGTGTCCATCTTAGTTGCTCTCAAGCGCCAATTGAAACTGTCTTCGACGCAAGCAACTGTCAACAATGACTTGTTTGATTTCTTTACCTTGAACTCAAAGTTATATTTTAATGACAGCCGGTGCACAGCTTCCTACAAATCTTTCTTGGTTTCAAACAGTTGCTCGACCTGCAAGTCCTCATCATCGGGAGCCACACGGGAAGAATTCGAGGACGGTTCACTTGTTCCAACCTGTGAGCTCCCACCACGCTCGTGTCTCTGTCAGGATAAAACAATCAAATTCTCATTTGTAAAGTCGTTTATGTTCTCATTGTCTTCAACTGTTGACGGAATTCTGCGCGTAACAGTGACATCACGATCAGAAGCAACTGATCACGATCAGAAGCAACTGTCTCAGGAATACCCACATCATTCGCAGGAACTATCTCCACTGTCTCCCAAAAACCTCGATCATTGTTATCCGCCCTATCCGAATCTTCACGTTCACCTTCGATAACATCCTTCGTAATTAAAGTCACACCAAGAACAGTCGGAGTCCGATGCATTTTATTTAATTCTAATAGATAATTCAATTCAGCATCATTAGTAATGAATACCGGTGGCATCGGAATGGATGAATCCCCATAACCGTTGAATAGATATCTCAATTGCATATCGTATTGAGATTGATCGACATTCAACTTATTTTGCAAATCGTGGTACATTTCTAAATATGGTGTACTCTCTGTTACGGGAATTGCAATATAACCACGTATGTCACTCGTCCATCTCCATTCCCATCGATTATTTTCATTCAATTCGAAATCACCGAAATAACACACGGGGATTATCATATCTGCATGAGGAAATGGTTTTAATCAACTTCAAATATTAATTATAAGAAAGAAAAAGGCAAAAAATCAGCTGCAGCCAAGGCTGTTTAACAGCCTAACAGCCGGCTGTTAAACATCCAACTGCCGGCTGTTTCAGACTGTTTCCGACTGTTTGTTAAGCTAAACCAGTTTGGCGTAGGAGAATACCGTTCTAAAAACGAAATTAAGCATGCGTAATTTAAACGTAAGTTATACATCCGTTTAATTTTTTTTTTTTTTGATAGGTTCTGTTAAAAAAAATCTATGTCGACATAAAATTTTTCTATTTAAACGTATACTAATTTACTTAAAACGAAATTAAACATGATTAAATGTACTTACTGATTTGAAGTAATTGATGTGAAAAATTTTTTCAGCTTCAACGTTCCAAAGTTCTTCTAGATTTTGATGTTCAAGCAGATGAAAAGATGAGAGTTTTTTCTGTGTTGGAATCTCGTTTTGAAGTTTTTCTAAGTGGGAAAATGTTCGGTTTTCAATTATTAAGTAAAAGGATAGTATAGTCCTTTCAACAATATATGGTTTTGTAATTGTACAAAACATTTAAGGGTATCTTTGTCTTTTACCACACAAGAGGCCAATGTCATAATATTCATTATTTTGGAAGTCAAATTGAAATTTTGCTCCTTTGACCGGGTCAAAATTAAAAGTACCCCGAAAATGCGTTTGGTAAATGGTGGGGTGAAATGGGGCAATTCTTTTTGTCTTGGGTTATCTGACTTTTGTTTGTCAATCATGCTATGGGTAGATTGTAGTGTCCAACGAGGTGTCCAAAATGGACACCCGGTACCTTGGCACTGGCCGAGGAGCCTGTCACGAGGGGACCCACCGACGCCTCGACCAATACCTAGGTGCTGGGTGTCCATTTTGAACACCCCATTAGACACCTCAGTGTACCACAAGCATTATTCTTTATTTTTTTTTCTTGCCAGCTCTTCTGGAATTTTTTTGTGAAGCGAAATCTGTACACCTAGCCGAATTGTAATATTATACATGATTACAAATTTGGGAATGATTATATGTTCATATAGTATCTCAAATATGCTTACAGAATTATATATGCTTACAGAAATGCATGTGTATATAAACAATTCATTGTAGCCAAATTAATTTTGGTACACGTGATAAATAATTATGTTTAAAAATGATTACCTTTTACTAATTTATTTTAATGTTTGGAGAATCGTGCTGATAACATGTTGTAAAAAGAGAGAAGAAAATAAAAGACAATAGACTTTTATGTATTATAATTAGAAAACCAATGTCCCATATTTATAGAGAATGATTAGTGATATAATGATAATAATTATTAAAATTTCAAGGGTACAATTATCATTCATTAATAAACTTGTCATTTACAACAATTGACTCATTATTCATGCTTCTTACTTTTCCAATTGATTTTTTGTTATGGGTTCATTTTTCAAGAGACAAAATGAGGAGGAATTTTTTTTTTTAAACATGTATTTTCACCGTTTTCTTAGGTTTTTTTGAATTTTTTTTTTCTCTTTTTCTGCATGTAAACTCAAAGATACGCATTTTGAATTGTTTATATTTTCTAAGATCTACATTTGTTTTTTTATAATAAATATATTAAAACCCATTTATGCAATTTTACTTAAAGTTATTTAAGTAAATAAAAAAATTACTTAAGATTGTGGTGTAACTAACAAAATTCGTGGTGGTCATATAATTACTCGTATAATTATCCAAAATCAAATAATTAGTGTAGGGCCAAATTGGCCATTTTACACATACTAATTATTTTCTCACTTAAGCAGTTGAGCTAAAATTTATTTCAGCGGTTTCTTTGCTATAAAATTATAGTAACAATTTAGCAACAGTCAAATACTGAGTTCGGATTAAAATTGATCAGAGAAAGTACTTAATCAAATTCTTTTACAGTTTCAAATGGGCAGCAAATTCAAAAATGACTTGTCCATTGCATTTATGGATTTACTGAGTTCAGATTAAAATTGATCAGAGAAAGTACTTAATCCAATTCTTTTACAATTTCAAATGGGCAGCAAATTCCAAAATGACCTGTCCATCACACTTATGGATCTACTATGCACACTCACGATATCATCTTACCAAGGTTAAAGACAAACTGCTTATATCAGTTGGTAAAGTAACAATTAGAGTGTCAACCACTTATTCTACGATCATGTACAATTAATTTCTCAATCAATGTACAAAATAGTATTTTTTGTATTAATCACCATATTTTATATTCCAAATGTCCATCGAAAACACTTTATGTACTTGTTCAGAATATAATTCAACTCAGTTTTATGGAAATAATAAAAATCTATTACTTATTCAATAACATTCGAAATGTCTATCTTATTATAGTAAAATTTTGATACTTTTAGGCACATAGCTCAACATGTACAACTGTATACGAAACAATGTATGATGTTTTCTAAGCTTTTTCCATTAGGACTAGGATATGTTTTGGATGGGAAATTGTCTAATCATTGGGGCTTATCATTTGTAGGTGAATAGTAGTGTGAGTGTCCCACTATAGTTGGGGTTGACTCTCAAGCATTTGAACGGTTGAGTCTCATAGGATTCTATTGATAAAAGTTATATCTTACTTCAATATATTAATCACGAACTCAAGTTATCGACCTTGGGATCAAGATTGTTCTTGGAGACATTTGTAAAGAGGTCATGCATGGGCCACCTCGATAAGCTCTTCCTCAATATTATTATACCTAGGGTACACGTTGATCTTTGTGCTCAAAGTGAGATCAACTTAAGCCTTATCAATACTGATTAACCATATTAGGAGGATAATTTGGTAAATCTGCAAGGAAAATGAAAAACTTGGGTGTTTGTACACCACTTAATGGATGATCTATTTTAATATATAGCACATCAACATAAAAATGATGTAGATATAGTAATAACGGTTTTGCTCTTTGTAATTATAACTTATAATTACTTAAAAGTACTTCCAAACATGCTCGCGTTTGAATCTAATGAAATTCAAGTTGAAACATCTAGGCAGTTTTATTTTTATGTTTTTAGTAATGTTAATAAAGATTTTATCATTTGTTGTCTGCTGTCCAAATAAATTACTGATAAGTAATTACTATTTGCCTGAAGTCTGGAACGAAGCGACGAGCCGGCAGATATTTACTGTACCTATAAAATTACAAAGTGAAATAATAAAGAAAATTATAGTAAACGACGACTATATTCACAATATTTCTCATAAAATTGAAGAGTAAAGATCGTAAATCTTGGACTCGTAACCTAAAGCAGTTTGAAAGAAATGGGAGAAGAAGGAGAAGATCCACAGAAGTTGAAGAGAATGGCGGCGGCGGCGTACGACTACGACACCGACCCACGATGGGCGGATTATTGGTCCAACGTTCTCGTTCCACCCAACATGGCATCCCGCTCCGATGTTATTAATCACTATAAGCGCAAGTTCTACCAGCGTTACATTGTAAGATAATTATGCCTTTTTTTTCTTTCTTTTTTTTTGATAGAGTATATGTCGTGAACCCAATTTGGGTTTTTGATTAATTTTTAGTTGGTTTGAGTTATTATTGGAATTTTTTGTGTTAAATTGAATTTTATGAGGTTGTAATTGGTTGTGTTTTCTCTGCTATAAATCATGATGATTTAAGTGAAGAAATATTTGTTCTTTTTTTTTTTTTTTTTTTTTTTTTTTTTTTTTTTTGGTTTTTTGGGTGTTTGCTTGTGTAGTTAATATTAAAACTTGTGATGATTTGTAGCTATTTTTTTCTGGGTTTTGAATTGATACAGTTGTCTTCAGTAAATAAATGCAAACAATTTGATAAAACCTGATGTTAAAATTCAGAATATGGTTGAATCTGATGTGCATTTGGAAGGTGCTTTTCAAGTTTTCTTCTTTTGCAGTGTGTGTTTTATTGTCCTTTTCAATTCAGAATCTGCGTTGCTGGTTGTAATTTTTTTTAGCTATTTAAGACTATCCTTTACTAATGGGTGGTCATTTTTTTCTCATGATCCTATACATTTCTTTTTGCTTCTGGTTCCTTATTTTGGTTTTTTGAATGTTATTATGGTTCATTTAGGGTTTGTTTGAGCTCTATTTTGTTTTTGGAAAAATAGGTTTTTTAATAGTGATTTTTTTGGAGAATGTGTGATTAAAAAATAGGGAAAAAATTGCGTGTAAAATTATTTTATTGGAAAAATGTATGATTGAAAATGAGTTTGAAAAAAAAAATGAATTTTTATAGAATGGGGTTCAAACAGGGGCTCAATAACCTCAGGGGGTCAAAATCAAAATGCTCAAGATGTGGCTGAGTTAGGTTTTGTGTCAGTTTGTAATTTTGTCTTCTCTGGTTATTATTTAAGTTCTTAGTTTTGATGACAGTTTCTGTACTGATTAAAGCCATTTCTATCTATCTATTTATATCTGTAATCATGACTATTGAGACGCTTATTTGTAGATTTGTGGATGGATTGTAATGAGAAAGATTCGCCATAGAAATTAACTTTTGTGGGTCTTTGGCTTTCTATATATTTTTTATATATGGGCTTATTCCCTTTCCTTTCACGAGTTCATACATTCATTAAAAGAATTTTTTTTCACACATGTTTCTCCCGTAGGCTCCTCCTTGAGAGATCATTAATTTGCTGTATTTTACTATGCAGGATCCCAATCTGGTTGTTGAGTCAATGACTACTGGCAGTACATCTCAGCAAGCAAGACCATCAACAACATCTTCGTCAACTTCTGCAACAAATAGTAATTCTCATACACAGAATTCAGGTGTAATTTCAGCTTCTCTGATAAATAATGCTTCTCAAGTTGGCAAATTTAACTATTGGTTCATCATGTTTTGCACTCTATATATGCTTGCTGCCTGAACTCCACTTAAAATTCATTTTGTAGGTTCTGCCAGTAGAACTACGGGCACGTCCGGAACTCCAGCTCCAAATTCAACATCGTTGCGTTGGGATAAACAAACTATTCAATTTTCTGTCAATGCTTGGGTATGTTAAGTTCACATATATACACAAATACTACATTAGGCAGATGTGAGAACAGAAACTTTTATGACCTAGGGTGAATAACATCGGGAACTTTGGCTTCTTCAGTGTTCCAAAATATCAAGTGCACACTATTTTCAATATCAAGGGAAAATACAACAATGATACCAAAAAATGGATTGTTATCAAGTGCTTTTAGACTTCAGTTAACATTTCATGCATATGTTTTATGACATCTTGTCAAAAATTTTACGAAATCTGCAGGTCCTATTAAATGTATTTATATTTACCATATTATTTACTATGCTGATTGTAACGAAAGCTTGGGTTGTGATCAGTTGCTTTTGTAATGTAACTGCCTTTTCAAATTAACTTCTTTTGACCTCCACCGTAAGTACTTACTATTGGTATCTAATTCTAACATCATAACATCACCTATGGTGGAGTCCTACAGGAAGGGGGTTTTGGAAATGCTATCTTTGTCAATATAACTTTTGAAACATAAGAAATTATTAAGTTCTTTAAAAATATAACTTACTCCCCGGTAATTTTCAACTAATTCATTAAGGCTCTTAAGTTTTCTGTCCTCTTACTTTTCTTTTTATCACACATTATTTTATTCTTTGATATTATTACCATGAATGTTGAAGGCTCTCTCTCCCCCCACCCCTCTGCCCCCATTTTTCTCACTACTTATATACCAAATATTATAGGTTGAAATGATTCTGTCTACTTTTCTTAAATATACTTCAACAAGAAAAATGTGGTCCAAGTTTCTCACTGAATCACCATATTAGATAATTGTCACTTGTGGGACTCAGGCTACTGTTAGTATGTCTTCCATTATTCTCGTCAGACTTTTTATGGCTAAAATTTATTTTCCTGTGTTGGGATGTCTATTAAATTTTATTCATTTTTCAGTTACTAACAGATTTCTGATTTTTGCTCACCATTTCTCATTTAATCTTGTTACCTTTGATGAGTCTTAAGCATTCTCATTGCTTTTAGGATAAACCTGTTAATTACTCTATTTGTTCCTATTTCCTAACTGAATTGTAATTGGGAGATCAAGAGTCATAGAATCAAGGTTATCTAACTGTTTGCTTTTTAGGACCGAGATTGGTATGCCCCTTAGTTTGAATGTGGAATTAATCATGAGAGTACATCTGCATCTCTGGTTGACTTTGAAACCTTGTGATTGCTAATGAGATTCAAATGCTAACATTTTTAATCTCTCTTTCTTTTTGGTCGATGTTATTTCACTAAGCTGTTGTATTATGCACCTTATTAGTTTAGGTTATTGTTATAAGACGGTACATGTATATGTTTTCCCTTGCAGGTCTTTGTGGTGGCAGTTCTTGCTATCTTTCCTCTTGTTCCTAAGAATCTGTCAAACCGTGCATTTCGGCTTTCCTTCATGGGGACTGCATGTTCTTCTCTCTATTCATTATATTCATTATATGGGGTAATTTGTAGTTAGTCTTTTTCCCCCATTATCTTTTCCTGTGCATGATATATGTTCTATTCACTGCTTCATTGATTCTATTAACTAGTCATTGCTTGCAGAAACCTAGAGCATGGAACTTGCAGGCTCTGCAAGTTTGGTTTCAATCAGTGGCAGTTACCAAAGATTTTATCTACTCCATTTACTGCCTCACCTTTGTTACTTCAAATCTGTGCCTCAAATGTCAGTATTATTCCAATTCTGCACTAGTTTTCTCATCTTATTTACCTAAGCTATACCAGCTCTGCCTCTCCATGCACATAATTAGCTGATGTTCAATGTTGGCAGTTGCTATGATTCCAATTTTGTGTTTGTCCGTTCAGCATGTTGCAAAGTTCCTTAGGCGTAACTTTAGCAGATCCACCTTGTACAGGTAAAGAAAGTTTGCATGTATGTGTATTCTAATTGAAGATTGGATTGGAATGGTAGAGTGCTTCAAATTTCTTCATTTTACGATTGTCTGGTGCCATTTCATTATGACACGAATCTTGTGTGAAGGCAGAAATTAACCATTGTATTATATATTTCTTTGATCCGTATGTAATATAGTTCCCGGTCTCTTAATATGCAATTCCATTCCTTTCAGGTTGTTCTGACATGTTGTTAAGGGAACTATAAATATGCATTTGTATTAATTTTAGGTGCTTGGTTTTTATTTATTTATTTATTTTTTGGTTGTGTTGGGCAACGAGGCTGTATATCAGTATCGGATCTGGGGTTTGTTACTTCTCTGTTAGACTATTGCATGGTAAATTTCTAATATACAAAGAGTCAAGAAAATACTGAGGAATTTTTTTGATAGCTTTCTTAATGTGAGGATATTAAGTGAAGAAATAGCTGTTTGTCATTTGTTAATATGTGATGTGTAAAAGAAAGTCATGTTGGGTGGACTTTTGAAAGAAATTTGAATAAGAGCCTAATTCAGGACAGTTTTGTGAACTCAAGTCTCCAACTGTCAAATCTGCATGCCAGTACATTCTTTTAATGTTAGAAAAAGACAGCATGAATCTACTTCCATGTTGCATGGTCGCTTCAACTAAGCTAGCGTGACCATGTTCAACACATGTAGGACTCATGTTGGATATCGACACTCCTCCGACACTCCACCACGATCATTTTTCTTTCTTTATTAGAAATATTATATAAATTTAACTCAAAGTTATTATTAAATAACAAATATGTACTCATATTTAAAGCTAAAAGATTTCGACAAAAAAATTTAATAACAAGTATAAAACTAGATTTATACTATATAATGAAGAATCTTAAAGATTTTAATTAGCGTGTCGGTAACGTATCGTGCTAGTGCTCTTTGAAAGATCATTTATCGGACACACTTATCTATGCCAGAGCATTATGGGTCTACATTCAACTAAGTGATGAAGTGTCTGATCCATACAATGTATGCTGCTATGAACATTTACATGTGACATGATGGATTGGTGGTCTTTACTTGAAAAAGACACAGAAATTTTCATGAAAAAAACATACAATTTTATTTTATATCATAGTTTTAGTTGTATTCATTCCTTTGTATAGGACAAGTAGAGAGGTTGACAGTGACTAAATTGATCTAGATACTTTATTTTTTGCCATGTAAGTTTTCTTTCATGTCTGCGACTTAATTGCTAATTCTGTCATTCTGCAGGAAATACCTGGACGAGGCCTGTGTTTGGGTTGATTCAAACACAACAACACTTGGCATTCTGTCTTCACAAGCTGAGATTGGACTTGGATTTCTTCTGATTCTCTCTCTTTTCTCGTCAGTATCTTTGCTTCCCTGTACTTTTTTTCTGGGTTTGATGATTTTTGTTTTGGAACTTCTGATTCTTGTTAAAAAAAAAAAAATTAAAAAGAAAAATGCGTACCTATATTGTTAAGGTTATCTCCTCAATTTATTTCTTAACCATACAGGTGGCAGCGCAACATTGTACAAGCATTTATGTATTGGCAGGTGTGTATCGCTTCTCCTTTTATACTTGAATACGGAATTTTTAATTTTACATTGCTTCATTTCTTTAGTTGTCTAGAAATTTATGTTCACGCTTGTTAACTGAAATGACCAACTGCAGAATTCAAGAAAAAAATTTCCCCTATTTTCTGCTTCTTGGGGAGACATTCTGATTCTTCTATGATGATGCCAGTTATGCCATTGCTGGCTAGATAACTAGGTCTAACATGTACCTGGTCCTCTGGTGAAGCAGTTCTGATGATCTTATAACTTATAAGAACATCTGACTCTGTTCTCTCTATATAATGTTGGTCTATAATGGCCCTCTCATTTTGTCTAATAGGGAACTTCACAACATCCAAATGTTCTTCTTTGAAAATGTAAAACTCGGTAGCATGTAAGATAAAGATTTTTGCTTATAAGTAAACAAGTTTTAGATTTTTTATTATTTATTATTTTTTACTGCACTGGGCTGGAAGTAATTACTAGTAAGGTAAGACTTATTTTCTAAATAAGCAACTCTTGTTACATGGAAAGTAAGAAAATAGTCATGCCTCAAAAGTAACTTTTACTTGTGAACTTAGCCCTCCATGTCGTTCATGTGCACTTGGTGCCTGTAAGACTGGTCTAGATATTTTTGTTATTAAATTTTGATGGTTCTCGAGAAAAAATTTGCTTTTGTAGATTGTTAAAGACTTAAAGTTAGTATTCTTATGGTATGTAAACATTTTTTCCCTCTGGCAGCTTTTAAAGCTTATGTACCAGGCCCCTGCAACTGCCGGTTACCATCAAAGTGCATGGGCCAGGATCGGGAGGACATTAAATCCACTAATCTATCGCTATGCGCCTTTCCTGAACACTCCAGTTAGTGCTGTTCAGAAATGGTGGTTTAGGTAAGAAGCATGGAGAGAGAAGGAAGTTGATGACAACATATGCATGTCTTTCCCCTTGAGACATGTAAATCTTGATTATTCAGAACTGTTTATACGATTAATCAGTCAATCCCATGGGAACTCATCGTTCAGAGGGCGATGTTGAGGTCATTGAAGTTTTCTATTTCTTAACTTTACCTGAGTGGTAGTGTCCTTCCACTTAGTTTTTAGAGTTTTGGTTTGTGTTTTGATACTATTGATTTGAAACAGTAGTGTGGCATAAATAAAGCAGACCTATTTTTACAGAAACAGATAATGAATTAGACAGGCTTTGTTGTGTATTATTTAATTTGTCATGATATTTTCATGGTACTTTAGACATGACTTCAATTGTATTATATGGTGTTAAGCTCGATTGGCTTAATTTTCATTAACAAATGTGGTAATGCGTCATATTCTTAGCAATAGTTGAAGTGATCACAAATTCTTTATTTTTGCAAATTTTGGGTTACCTTTTCTGCCTTGCTATAGTGATAACGGTCGATTCTCTCTTTTTAAACCTTTTTAAAAGGTGTTTTTTTCAAAGTCACTGGGTTGTCGTCTTCTTTAAAATTTCCACCATCAAAGCTATAAGGAGTTCCAACAATTTTAAGTAAAAAATAAAAGGGCAAATTAAGTTAATGGCCACATAAATTGAGTAGTCACACTAATGTTTACTGGAATTAATATTTTATGGTACTGGTAAGCGTCAACATTCATCGTGTCGCTTAAGCGTTTACACTTCACAAAATGGGGTTAGGAATGGCAACTTGTCCTGCTCCACTGGGGCTCAGCCCTGAATGGGACGGAAAAAACCATCCCGATGGGTTGGCGGGGTGTAACTCCTTGGCGGGAGCGGGGGCGGGGATGGGGATGCCTTGATGCGTGAAGAGAAAAAATAAAAAATAAATGGGACGGCAAACGGGGGCAAGTCGTCGCTCCAAATCCGCCCCCTTGTCATCACTAAATGTTATTTATTATGTCAAATCAGCAAAGTTGGGAGTTAGGAATTTAGATAAAGTAAGCTTGCATGTGAAAATAATGCGGCTTTAGTTTTAATCAAAATTTTGCACTTAAATCATATGGTAAAATCATTTTTTAACAATGAATTTTGCTGATTTAAAATAAAAAATAGTGCCATTTGATGACATGTTGATACTTAACGATGCTATGTAGAATTTGAAGTTAGAAATTAGTGTGATTATTACAGCAAGAAAAATAATTTCTAGTCATCGAAGTAATCACTCAAGTCTCAAGATTCCATTGACCATAATTAACACAACAATAAACATAGCAAGTCAAGTTACCTGACTTTGTGGGCCGCTGAGGGGCTTTGATAGGATTATCGACTTAATTGACATCATCTCTTTTTCAGTTTTTTGTTCATATTAGATTACAGAAAATTCAAATCAAACTTAATAATAAAGGCTGCATGTTCGTAAAAAATCTGCAAACGTACGGAATCGTTGACAAGTAATAGAAATTAATGAGTTTCGAGTTTATCGTTCCAATGAAGAATAATGTCTAATATTTAATTCATAAACTTTTATCAAATTCGAAGTCATGTATCATAAAAAAAGAGGGTTTGTATGTTTTCTATATTAATCGTAAACTAAGAAAGCAAGTAAAGCATTTATCAATATGTGAATGTTTGTATTGAAATTGTGAATCCTCCTATTGCCATCTATTTCAATTCTTAATTCATAATCTAGAAAATTCATGCATTCAAAACAATTGATAATCCACTTTTATTTAATATTATTTTTTAAGATATATTAAATTTATGTTCAATACGACCTGATCCTATTCTTAATCCGAATTCATATGAAAAACATTAAGTGATTAACAGGATTTATAACACGTGATTGCACATGGCATAAATATTATTCCTAATACATATTGTCCGTTTGTTGATTTTGTCATGTGCTAGATTTATTGTGAGTATTCTTATATTACAATGAGTAACTTACTATTTAATTGATGATCAAACAATCAAATAATTCAATGAGAATGCAAAACCAATGAAGAAAAATCAAGAATATTAAACTAATTGTCTTCAATTAAAATAAACAAATAATAGGGTTCATCATTCATCCAATACAATGAAAAACTTAGCCTAACATTCTTTTGATTAGAGTATACTAGAATAATTGGAAAAATATTACTTGAAAATATGAAAGATTGAAAAAGTAGGAGAAATCTACATTCTTGGCTCAAATCTTAAAGTCGGGCTATGAATCTTCAAAATCCTTGTATGATTAGCCTTGAATTGATGCATAGACTGGATTTTCACCTCCAAAATATGTAGAATATGATGAAATTTAAGTCGAATGGAGGTTCCCCACCTTCAGGTCGAGTTTTGATATTTAAAGGATATAAAAAAGATTGCATTGAATTGTTACCAAAACAACAATAAGGAAAATCAATTTTTTTTTTTCATTTTGTACTGTGGCGTGCACCTGGCTGGTTTGTGACGCCTCAATCACCCCATTTTTGGTTGGAGCGTGCGCCTCCCCTAATTTTGACAGTCAAACAATTTTTAGTATTTTTGTTATAACTGGATTTTCACCTCCAAAATATGTAGAATATGATGAAATTTAAGTCGAATGGAGGTTCCCCACCTTCAGGTCGAGTTTTGATATTTAAAGGATATAAAAAAGATTGCATTGAATTGTTACCAAAACAACAATAAGGAAAATCAATTTTTTTTTTTCATTTTGTACTGTGGCGTGCACCTGGCTGGTTTGTGACGCCTCAATCACCCCATTTTTGGTTGGAGCGTGCGCCTCCCCTAATTTTGACAGTCAAACAATTTTTAGTATTTTTGTCATAACTTTCTCTTCTGTTATCTGATTGAGGTGATTCAAAGTGCGTTGGAAAGCTAATTCCAAGGGATACAATTCTTTTAGAGATATCATTTTTCCAATTCGAAAGTTTGCTATGCCAAAATTGGGTCTCAATAGAGTTTAGAAATCTCAAGCATAACTTTTCCGGCTAAAAGTTGATGTGTGATAATGCTTTGACTATATTTCATCCCTTCGACTTATTTTTTCATCCAATTGACTTCTAGCACTCTCTAATCCTATCGTGAGGTTCGGAATAACATTTGAATATTTAAACTTTAGTCCCCGAATTTTAGATTTGCTTCATTTTAGCTATTTTCCATTTTTTCTACCAATTCTTCGTCGAAACATGAGTTTTTTTTTTAATAAAAGCAATAAATAATAAATTAGGCACTAATTCGTCAAAAGAATAACAAATATAGAGCCCGTTTGAGCCATATTATTTATAGAATGAGAATGAAAAATAGAGCCTTTATGAACTCCACACAAGAGATAGAAATTCAAAAATGGTGGCTTGAAGTGATGGATAACGATTATATTTTTTTATTTTAATGAGGTAAAAATAGGACTCAAACAGAGCCATAATCATTTTTAGGGCCCTAAATAAGTGTAAAACTACACTTATCATTGTGGTACTAGTATGACACTACGACATAATATTGACAATTAAACTTATATGATATTAATACTTTAATAATATTCGATTCTTTCACTATATGATTCTTCTTGCATTTCTCCCGTTGTCTTGTGAAATACATAAGTTGGTTGTGGGAGAACTAGGGACGAACAGATAAGATAAAAATTTAAGGATCATGCTACACTACCAGGCCTGCAAAGGCCTGATAATGCAGCTCTCTCACATTAGGGATGGGGGTGGAGGCAGGAGTGGATTTTTTTAACATGGGAGACCCACCTGAGGTGAGAGAAATGAGAGGGGAGGACCTCTACCAGGCCTTTAACTTTACAGGCTTGGTAGAGGAGCATTATCCAAAATTTAAAGTTTCAATAATGTAGGTTTGACTAGATATTAAAAGTAAAAGTTACGACTTTCTCATCAATAAATATGTATATTATTTTCTGTTTTATTTATAATAAAGTTCAATTCTAATATGACTACTACTACGCAAACATAATTTTTTGAAAATTTCTGTTTACAATACAATTCTTAAGACTAGAACCAAAGGGTTTCTATGATATTTACTCTTAGGGTCCGTTTGATAGCATTCGAGGAATTCGTTATTTACTTTGATTGTTTGATACGAAAGTAAAAGTAAAATTCGAATTTCAAAGTACAAATACTTAAAGATGTATTTTTGGCCAATTAAGTGAAAATCAAATTCCTATAATTTTGATGATTTTTTTTTTTTTCCAACTTACACGGGACTAGTTTGTCCTTTTCGCCCCTGACCTTAATTCCTAATATTAGACCTCGACTATCTGAATAAGTTTATTTGTTTTTCACAAGTACGATGTTTGAAATTTATTTAATTGAATATCGTGCCAGGTGGGTTTAAGCACGTGTTGCCTTGCCCTACAAATCTACCAACGACGTCGGACAGGGCAGGTCTCCTCGAAAACGACGTCGCTAAAGGTCCCACAAGATCTCCCAAAACGCGCACAACGTACACTACTACATATATCAGACAATACATACAACAGGAGAAGAACGGTCATACAAGACTTTTTTCTCTCTATATTGAATATTATCTTACACCTTCTAATTTTTAGGGTTTGGCTCCTTATTTCAACGCCAACACCAATTTTTTAATAAAAAAAAACCCTAAATAGGTGCGTCCGCTTTTCTCTTTCATCCAATTTTTTATTTTTATTTATTTATTTATTTTTTCTTTCTGTATATACATGCATATAGTTACCTATGTAACAATCTTTGCATGCATGTTGGTGTATTAGAATTTAGATCGAAATCATTGAATAAGCCCTAGGATTGTTTGATCATTGTCTTTGGAGTTATTGTATTGTTAATGAAGCCTCTATATCTGATGTGGGCTTTGTTTCGACGTAAAGAAAGTTCTGTTCTCGATTGGAAGAAAATAGAACTTAAAAAAAAGAATTTGAATTGCGTTTGTTAGATTTTGGACAATTTGTGATGTGGGTTTTGATAAATTGAAGTGAAGTTTTGCAAAAACATTGAAATCTTGAATTTCTTTTCTTAATGAGATTTTGATCTTGATATTAACCACTTTATCGTATATGGTTCAGGAAGCCATAATTGATGAAAATAATTAAGGTTGCGTGCCAATAAATTAATTTTACATGTAATACGACAGTTTTCGGTCATTAATATTTTGGGGGGGGGGGGGGGGGGGANATGAAAAATAAAATTTTTCTTTGACATTTCTTTTATAAAAGACCCTCTCATAACTAAATGAGGAATGAAATATGTATTCCATTATTAAAAATATGCCCCATCCATTAAGTCCTATTTTACTTCAAGTTTCCATCGTAAATTTTGTTGACATCTCTTTATATTTTCCGAGTTTTTACATAATTTGATTTGTCAGTTAATTGTGTCAACAATAACCATAACAAAACAGAAAGATTACATTGTTAATAATCAAACATATTTTGGGTCCACATTGCTAGTTAGATTGGTGAAACATATATATCTATGAGTTTTACATTTAATTGTTGTTGAGATAAAATTGTTTTTGTTACCGCATACCATAAATATTTTATTCATCATATCTTCTCTTCTTTTATTTTCTCTCTCCTTCTGGAGTTGCGTCAGCTAAGGGGTGCCACAGAAGTTTTAGTCCTATCCCTTTTGTCATTCTGTCTTCATATCTAAAAGAGTATTAATTTATTAAAAAAATTAGTTTAACATACATAAATTATTCTTTTTATTTGGCTTGGGCCCCAGTGTGCGTGTCCTGCTTACTCGAAAGTTATGTGTCAGTGTTGTGTTCGTATTCATGCTTCATATTATTTAAAGTGAAGTAGAACTAGGACTACATTGAATGTCCATTTAGCCACAGTAGGTTGATCAAATTTGAGAAGTACTACTCCGATTGTATGTGACTAGAAATACTTGCCAAGTTAAATGGGCAATTGGCAAGTTCTATAGTACTTTTGTTAGACCATGTTGTATGGCACTATTGAATTAGTAACGGATGTGATGTCTTCAATACGAACTGAGAAGAAACAATAGTCTTAATTTTCAAATCTCTTACTGTATTATGTTTTCCTAATTGGAAGTCCAGAAATCCAGTAAATTATGAACTTTACACGGATCTATGAAGTGTTATATATGTCTGTGACAATCGTTCGTAATGTCTTTCATGCATCTTTGTCCGAGCTATGTTATATTAATATTATACATCCATATAGACGGCCCAAATTCTGACTAGAACATTTGAAAATAAAATTTTTTATAATTTGCAATTTCAGTTCTGACCTCATTGATTATGCAGCATGAGGCTGCCATCAGGATAACATTCACTGGTCAGAATCTCAAATTAACATTATTTTTTTTCTCATCACGTGCTTCAATTTTTTCCTCCCAACCTTTGCAGGATACAGTAAGATGGATTATGATCCAGTGTTCAATCGTGGAATAAGAAGTTCCATTGAACAGTTTTCAAGCCTACGACAAATGTGCAACATTGGCTCAAACCATAACAACCAATGGCAAAGTGATTGGGGCTGCTACTCTTCTCACATCAATGATTTTTCAAGTAATATGATGTAAGTTTCCAAAGTTGTGAGCTAAGTTATTGGTGACATTGCTTCAAGTTTAATTATCGTGCCTGTAGCAATCCATTCTGGTTTTAAAATATGTAATATTTGTCTCACATCCTTCTGCAGTGAGGAAAACCTCCAGCAGAAAATATATTCAGGATCAAGAAAACAGATATCAGATTCTGTAACTGACATGGAACGACAGCTATTTGGGGTTTCTGCTTTCGAGGTATCCTCTAGACAGTTGATCAGCAATTTACTTTTCTTCTAGTCATTATTTCGATTCAATATCTTTTTCTGTATGGATGTAATCTGGTTTCATTTTTTGTAGAATTTTCTAGCTTTTATCATAGTTAGTCATGTTGGATTATATCAGTGTGAGATGTGGATGATAAGTTGCATGCTTTTCAGATAAATAGAATTCTTTCTGCCAAACAATGTTTCTAGAGGAATAAATTGACTGGAATTCTTTTTTGGGTCTTTGATATACGTGCCATATACTTGAGCTCATACCTTTTCTAATTCTTTTAGGACTGCCCCGACCAGGACATGCAATCCTGTAACTTGGAAAACCTAATCCAGCATGAAATTGGGGATAATAATGTGCATCATGAAGCATCTTCCTTTCTTGTTTCCTCCCAGATACCTATTCTCAGAACAACACCAGGCTTGCATGTTTCACCTAGTTCTTACAACTCAAATCCACCTTACCCTGGGTTTGATTACTCAGCGCCATCAGGTAATGTCTGTGGTACGACCAGAACATATGGCATCAATGATTCTCATGGCTTTCAAAGTAGGTCTTTCAACTTCAACTAAATCATGTTAACTTTTAATTTTCAACACTGCAGCTTAACAATAGCGTTCCGTGGTAATTCTAATGCAGGATCTTGTAGTAATGACCAGGAACTAGTTGCTTCTGATGGCAAGAATATGTTCTTCCCCATGGACCTAATGCAAGTTGTCGGCGATGTTGATCCTTCTTCAGATCATATCTCCTCTATCGGAGGATATTCTAATGAGACACATTCCATTGAGGAATCTTTTGATGGTGGACCTGCTTTTTGCTGTAGTAGTTTAGAGGCATCCGAGTCAACATCACAGAACTATTATCTGCAGAAATATGGTAATCAGGGTATTACTCTGAAAGCTAATGCTTAGTTCTCTAAATTTCAAACTCGGGAACTATTCCAATAATTGTTTATCCTGACTGAATTATATGCTTTACAGCATGTGAAATAAATAGTGAATAATTTCCTTTTAATCAGTTCTTCTTAGAACTTTTTCTATTTCAAATGATTCTTGATTAATTGTCTTGCAAGAGTAATTTCATTTTTTAATCCATGCCTAAAATTCCTAGATTCTTTTGCATCATTGAATTAATTGATGTGTTAATCGTATATATAATTCGATTTTTGAAGTAAAAAATTTGACATTCAGTATTTTATGTGCTTGGTATGCTTAAGCAATTAAGAATATGGATCAACGTCTGATTCTTTCATTATTTTCTTGAAATTTTCTATTTGAGCATTTCATCATCGTCCTAGGTTGATCTAATTTACTCAACTTAAGATCGATTCTGGTGTTTTATTCTATATAATGTGTTATCCAATTGTAATGGTTAGCTAAGGTTCTCTGTCTATCCATGTTACATGATTTTGAACCAGGCCTTTTACCCCTCTAATGATTATTTTAAACAGGGGAATCAAATCTGATAAAAGAGGGAGGGCTTTCAGAGAATTATCTGATGAAAGATGGAGGGCTTACAGATAACTATCTGAGTGCATATCACATGGATGCTCCATTTTCATTTGGGAAGAATGTGGAGCTAGATAAATGCAGCACTTGGCTCCCACAACAGTTATCAGAAAGGATTCTGGGAGATTCTGGCACAGTTTCTAGCATGACTGCCTGGATATCAAAATCCAGCCATGACGAACCATTGCAATCTGAGCTTCAGGTACTGGGATCAAATAATTGTCACCAGCAGCCTGCATATTTCAACGAGTCATCAAATGCCCAGACACATGGCTGCACTACAAAAATAGAGTGCTCCACACAGTCGTGTATGGTTCAACAAGAAGAAGTTCAACTACAAGAAACTTGTTTTCATAATGATATTTTAGAAGGTCCAGCACTATCTTTTGGTCCAGTTGGAGCTGCCAAACCTAAACAATCAATTCTGTCTTTGGTAGATATTCTTCTCTTATATACTACCTACAAAAGCATTCCGGTGAATATGGGGACAACCCGAGAGAACTTTTTGGATTATTTGCATTTGACTGTGTGTAATGTCCAAAAATGTGAGTGTGAAATTTACCATATACTGGTATCCCATTTTGATGACTGTCATGATACGGGCTGTAGCATATGTGGACCTGTTCGAGAGTTGTATCCTACTGGTGAAACTCACTCAGGAGCTGGAAAATCAAAAAGGGATCTGCCTGAAGATCTCCATGCTAGAGATTCTAACTGGATGAGTTCTTGCAGTGTTGAAGATATTCAACCTCCTTTGAAACGTTCAAAGATTGAAAGCAGCATTCTGTCCAACAACAGGCCTCTTAGTGCAGTGACTTTTCCAGTGAATCAACCATGCAAAACTAAAGGACATCCACTCTTGGGGAAGAGGTTTGGAAGTCTCATGTATTTTGAGGAAGAGGAATTGGTAATGAAAAATGAACTGTTAAGCTCCACGGAAGACCCTATAAAAGGTGGGGTACCTGCGAAGGGTTCTGTAGATAACATTAGATTTGAACGTGTCAATGCTCTTGGTGCAGTTACTCTTCCTGTGGATCAACCATGTGGAAGTCTGGAGGACCCTCTAATAGCTGTAAATATTGCTGTAGATAAAAATAGACTTGAGAGTGCCAATGCCTGCTTCAGAAGAACTGTAGTATATTCGGAATTGAGGAAGCCATCTGAAGGTCCTATGTATGATCAGCAAGATTCAAGTCAGACGAACAAGGAACTGTTAATGTCCATAGAGTCACATCCGGTGATGGATGGTACATACACTAGCAAGGTCAAAACCGATGTAACTTTGACTTCTGAAGGCTTAAGTTCTGACAGTAAGTCTGTTCTTTCTGAGGAGTGCACTAATGTTAAGGAAGATATCAAAATCAAGGACAAGGCTAATTACGCCAAAATAGATATGCACTGTTCTTCAGCTGAATCTGCAGCTTATTGTATGTTGCGGATGGAGTCACAGGATTCAAAAAGATGCGGTGTTTCTTTAACTGATTTTTTCAACGCACAGCAAATAAAGGAACACTTGAGTAGTCTCAACCAGAACATTGGCCAGGTTTGTCAAATAATTTTTCTTACCCAGTTTAGCTTTTATATCTCCCTGATTTTATAATTAATGAGGAATAAAAAACATCTCTAATGGACTTATCTCTACTTAATATTCCCATATTTTGATTTCTCTGAACTCACTAGACATGAAATATGTTACATATACAATGTCTTTTTCCTTCAATTAATTGCCTAAGATTTAACTACACAAACTAATGGACTCAAAAGTTTTAGAGCACTCTAAGAAGTTATCTTTGTTTATCTCTGTTGGGGACCATGTATCTTGATTGTTTGTTCTCAGAAACTCGAACCAAACTAGGTTGTGATTTCCTAAACTTGAAATTCTTTCTTATGAATTAAGTCTTCTTCTTGGTTGCGCTATCATAAGATGTGTTGTAAATGATCACGTGCTTGCGGATTTGTTTGATGGTAGATGGTAGTTAATTGTGTCGTACATAGGCAAATGTAATGTAGAATTATGAGGAAAAGTAAATACACTGTATGGACTATAGTTAAGATCATATATGTACTTCAGAAGTTTTGGGTCTTACCATACCATTGATTTGTAAAGATGGCTTCCTAGTGTAGATATTTTTGCACTTTAAGTTTAGTCATGCAGTAATTTTTGGTGTTTTGGAGACAGTACAGGGTTGTGGTTCATAACTCGTTCTTTGTACTTCAATATATGCATATGCATATGGTGTTTAACCATGTTCATTGCAAGCAGTGTATGAAGATTTTAAGCACCAATCCTCTTGACACTATCCACTTTCTATGACTATAGCTTCTGCTTTCCTTCTACATGCTCTTCCTATCATATTATGTTTAATGCATCAGATAATTAATTAAGTGTATTGAACAAGACGAGAGAGAGATTAGTGAAAGAAATGATAAAATATTCCCGTTATTGGCAGTGAGATGTGCCCAAATTTAATCTCTTTTTCTTGAAATTTTGCTTGGATTCGGGCATCTGCTGTTGAGATAATATCTAGTATCCGTCTTTTGTGCACTGCAATCTTTTCTTGGAAATGTTAGTGGCCTTTTCTTTTCGAAACATGCCAAGTAGATGTTTACTGATGTTTTTCTTTTTGTTAGAGCATCATGAAGGGATCAACAGAAAATACAAGAGCCCAATCCCTAGGTCAGAATACCTGCCAGTTATGTGCCAGGGATAGGATTATGCTAACTTCACCACCCATGTATTGTTCGTATTGCGGAGCTTGTATCAAGTCCAATATGACTTATTATTGGACAGCGGATGAAATGGACGCACGATACTGTTTTTGCACGTTGTGTTTCCGGAAGTCTCGTGGTGGTAAAATCTCATTTAGAGGGCTGTCTTTTTCCAAAACGAAGCTGCAGAAGGACAAAAATACAGCAGGAATTGAAGAATCGGTCTGCTTGGTCCCCTTTGAGCCTTTGGTTGTAAATTTTATCTTATTTTAAAGTTTAATACCTTATCCCTTTACTCTTGTGTGCTTTCAGTGGGTACAATGTGACGAATGCGAATGCTGGCAACATCAGACATGTGCTCTGTATAATCCAAAAAGCGATTTGGAAGGGAAAAGAAAATATATTTGTCCTTTTTGCCGCTTAGCTGAGATAGGAGTTCAAGAACATGTGTCCATACCTACTGCTCTGGGGGCAAAAGATCTTCCCAGAACTAAGCTTAGTGATCATATAGAGCTGAGACTCTTCAAGAGCCTTGACAGAGAGAGAAAAGAGAGGGCAAAATTATCTGGAATATCTCCTACTGAGGTAAGTTGCAAAAACTGATATGCAATTCATAATTGACATTTTCTTATCTGTTTGACATATAAAAATTGCTCAACAATTCTTACAATTCATTTTTGATGTTTGTCTGTTTATTGTCAAGTTTCAATTGCATCATGAAGTATTAGACGAGATACTGAATCAAATTAATCGTTCCATTCATACATATGATTTCACTAAAAGTATCTTGATTTTCTTTTCATTCAGCCCAAGAATTAGAGAAGCTAAGGTTGGATAAAGTTACAATAAAAATGTCCTTGCTTCTCTTTTGTCGACCGCTGAAGAAGACGAGCCTTAGGAATGTAAGATGTAGGACTACTTTCTTCTGAATCTTTTTGTGAGAAAGAAGAATTTTGAAATTCTTTTCTTTCTAAATTCTCCACTTGGTTGTCAAAATCTGCAATGCTTCTTAAAGTTGTAAGGAATTAGCCTCGAGTTATTGTGCGCCTGAACTGATCCCAACTTCATGTATCCTTTGGGATTAGCAAGTGGTTGACTCAAAAGCTTTCTTTTCTCAATAGTCACTCATAAATGCTGGACTGGACTGATCAGGCTAATTGTCCCACAATCTTTTCAGTTTTGGAAATAGATTGTGCTTGGGAATTTATATTGGTCCTCCATCATATGAATTTTGTCATATAGAAGCTAGTGTAGACATTGTAATCTTTTGGAATGCCTCTTCCCATGGTTTGTCTTGTGAAACTTTTTGATTGCTCTGTCTCTGAATTGGTTGAGGAACTTAGAGTCATTGCACCATTTTGAATACCTCCTGGCAATGAAAACTTTGGATGGTCTCTCTACCCTGGATTTCATTTAGAGAATGAGTGTTGTATAAGGAGATTTGAAGTATATTATAGATGAAAAATGGGAGTTTCAATTGCATAGAGATTTTCTTGAACTCTCGTTTTCATTAAGATTCCATCTTTTCCAATCACCCTAATTTAGTTGGGTTTACACATTGTATGTAGACATTCATTCCTAATCCAAAAGATAAGGAGAAGTGGATCTCCTATTAGACTACCTCCAATCTAGAACCTATGTGGTGTACCATCGTGGGACGCTTGTTTAACCAACGTATCCATCCCCTTCCTTTATCTACTTATGTGCGAAGGGTTCTTTAGTCTCGAACTTGCAAAGTAGTCTTGCAAAAAAGTTCTCCTAAGTATATGCTTATTTTAAGTTCTTTAATCTCACTTATGTTTAAACATTTTGGATTTAGCATTCTGTTGCATATTACATTATTTTTTGCTTTGTAATTTCGATTCAGTTCTTTGTACTCCATAATAAACGGGAAAGCGAAAGGCGAAGGTGCCACTGTAACTGAAGGGCTAGGAAAAGCAATGGGAAGAAATTGATAGTGATTAGGAAGAGTAAGGTGACTAAATGTAATGATTATCTAGAAGATCCAATTAGTAATGATAATATGGAAGGATTTTTCAAGTTATTTTTAGTTTTATTTATAATTTGTTGTGCGATCTCTTAGAATTTATTGTTTACTTCGTCGAATTATTTTATTTTTGCTTCCAAGTTAAGGTTGTTTATAACTTATTATAGGTTGCTTCTTCCCTTTTTCCCCATACATCTCAAAATGCCTTGAGGGTTTACATCGCCTCACAAGTAGAGAACACCTTAGCGCCCAATTTTATCCTTGTGAAATATCAACCACGATACCTGCAATTTTTCTTTCCTTTTTTACTTTTTATTTAATTAAGGTTTGATACCAAATGATGCAACACAGTACATAAAAACATATGATAGAGGAGAAGAAAAGGGAGACTAGAGGAGAGAGGGAGAAGAGAAGTAGAAGAGCAAGAGGGCAGTGAGAAAATTTTAGATAGAATACCCTATATCAATCAATTCAATGCAATATTCTATAGTATGTGGGGTGAAAAAGAACAATGTCTTTTTACTACTTGGGAAAAAAAAAAAAAATCTTTAGTGAGAAATGGAAAATCACCTAACTAATAGAATGGAAAATTTCCGATGTTGTACTTCATAGGGGAAAAAAAATCAAATTTAAGGAATTCACTCTAATTAATCCTAATTTTTTTATTATAAAATAAGTGACTAATATTGATAATTCTTCAATATATTATCTATAATCGGAGATAGATGAGTTGGATAGGTGGGAGGAGAGTCGAAGGTTGGCTGGGGAGGAGAAGGAGAAATGTAGAGCATTAAGGGAAGAATTGAAGAGGTTGGTGGAGATGGAGGAGATTGCTTGGAGTTAGAAATTTAGGGTCAATTGGTTGAAAGAAGGAGATAAATGTACTGAGTTTTTTCACAGGATCGCCGATTCTAATAGGCGCAAAAATTCTATCACAATGTTGGAAGTGGATGGAATAACTTATGAAAAACCACTCGAAATTGGAAACCAACTGGTGAATTTCTATCAGAATCTATATCGGGCGCAGTTTGAGTGGAGGCCAGAGTTGGAAGGATTGAATTTTTCTACTATCACGGAGGATGATGTCGGTTGGTTAGAGCGACCTTTTGAGGAGGATGAAATCAAGAAGGTAGTGTTTAGCATGAATGAGGATAAGGCCCCTGGACCGGACGATTTTGCTTTCTCATTTTACAAGGCTTGTTGGGAGGTGATGCGATCGGAAATTTTGGATGTGTTTACATATTTTTTTGAACGTAGCAGGTTCCTGAAAAGTTCTAATGCTACATTTGTTGTGCTGATCCCTAAGAAATCGGGAGCGACCAACATTAAGGGCTTTCTCTGTGGGGTGTATAAGATTATTGCGAAAGTCCTGACGAACAGATTAAAGGAGGTGCTCGGGAAAGTAGTGTCCAAGTTTCAGAATGCTTTCGTAAAAGGTCGCCAGATTTTGGACTCTGTGCTTATAGCGAATGAATGCATTGATTCAAGATTGCGTTTGGGGATTCTCGAGATGCTATGTAAGCTCGATATTCAGAAGACATATAATCATGTGAACTGGGGGTTCCTTTTGTATATGCTCAGGCGGTGCGGCTTTCGGGATAAGTGGTGTAAATGGATTCGGTTCTGTATTTTTACTGTTTCGTTCTCAGTTATGGTCAACGGAATGTCGAAGGGTTATTTTCAGAGTAGTAGAGGATTGTGGCAACGAGATCCACTATCCCCATTGCTATTTGTTATTGTGATGGAGGCTTTCAGTAGGATGTTTGAAAGAGCCGTGGGAGAGGGTTTGGTAAGGGGCTTTATGGTTGGCCAATTGCAGGTGTATCATTTGCTATTTGCAGATGATACGTTGATCTTATGTGATGCGGATGATGAACAATTCAGGAACCTGCGTCGTTTGCTCTTATGTTTTGAAGCGGTGTCTGGATTAAAAATCAATTTGGGGAAATTTGAGGTTATTCCAGTAGGGGAGTTCACTAACGTGGAGGAGTTGGCTGACATATTGAGATGTAGGATTGCACAATTGCCCATGTCATATTTAGGGCTCCCACTAGGAGCACGGTTTAAAAGTACACATATTTGAAATGGTATTATGGAAAGAATGGAGAGGAGGTGAGGGTGAAAGCGTATGTATCTTTCTAATTGAGGCCGACTTACTCTTATTAAATTCACTCTCTCAAATTTCCCCACTTACTTTTTGTCATTGTTTCCTATTCCGGTTGCAGTGGCAAATAGATTACAGAGACTTCAAAGACGATTCTTGTGGGCAGGGTTAGGGGAGGAGAGGAAAATGCATTTGGTTAATTGGGGTACTATTTGTTTGCCTATGAGGATGGGGGGCTTGGAGTGAGGAGCCTTGTTTTGTTTAATAAGGCTTTATTGGGCAAGTGGTTGTGGCGATTTGGAGTGGAGAGAGAGAGCTTTTGGAGAGAAATCATTGGGGCAAAGTATGGTGTGATGGAGGGGGTTGGTGTACGGTTGAGGGTTGTGACTCCTATGAGGTGAGCTTGTGGAGGTATATCGGACGGGGATGGAGTGATTTTAGGGACAAATTGAATTTTGTGGTGGGAAATGACACTGATATTAGATTTTGGGATGATAGTTGGTGTGGTGATCAACCGTTAAAGGAGGGATTTCCTTCATTGTACCTCATTGCGTTAGAGCCTGCTGCTATGGTGGGTGATGTGTTAGACATTCATAATGGGGGCTATAGTTGGAATATTACTTTTGGGAGGGATTTACAAGATTGGGAATTGGAAGATTATTCGTTGTTTTTTACCGCTCTGCATGAGGTACAAATTCGGGTAGAAGAGGGTGATTAAAGCAGGTGGAGGTTGGCTCGAGATGGTATTTTTTCAGTCTGCTCATACTTTCAATCCCTTTTGGGATTTGTTAAGAGTTCATTACCTTGGAAAATGGTGTGGCAAAGTAAATTGCCTCCACTGGTAGTATTTCTATTATGGACAGTTATGAGGGGGCAGGTGTCAACAGTGGATAATCTTCGACGAAAAGGATTTTATGTAACCGAGTAGTACTATATGTGCAAGAAGGATGGAGAGACAATTGATCATTTATTCATTCATTGTGATGGTGTACGTTGGCTTTGGAACAGTATTTTGGCTTCTCAAACAATGGATTGGGTGCTACCTAGGCGTATAGAAGACGTGATGCGGGTATGGAGGAGAATATTTCGTGATAAGGATAGCAAACTTCTTTGAAATCTTATCCCAGGATGCATTGTATGGTGCATATGGAGAGAACGGAACGATTGATGTTTCGAAGACCAAACAAAGATAACAGAGCAGATAGGAGAATTATTTTACTTGACTTTGTATACTTGGTTTAATGCAGTGGCTAAAAATCCTGTCGTAGGGTTGCTTAATTCCATGTTGTTCCTTTCATGCTTAAAGTAATTGTATACCTCCCGTGTACTCTCTTTTAAGGAATAAAATTTTCTCATTACCTATAAAAAAAAAAAAAATAACAAGCCTTGACTTCTTGTAGCCTAAATAGTTTTGCAAGTGCGTTTAAAATCATTTGCAACATTAGTTACACATACCAGGTACTAACTGTGTTTCGTTGTTAGGTATGATTATATTTAACAAACCATCAATTACTTATTCACATTGTTGGAATGAAAACTTGTTTATCTCTATTTATATTTTTCTGCTTATGAAAGCAACAGAAAAGAGCGTCCCTAAAAAAATATACTTATTTGAAAATGTTGTAGATATCTAAAATTGGTTCATCAAAGCTGCTAGCATATGTTTAAGTTTCCATCTGTACATTTCACAATAGTATCCGTGTATTTATGTTACAACTTATTACACTTCTGTCATTCTATTAATATTTTCTTACTTGATGGTTCTATACAGATCTTTAGCTGGATCATAAAGCTGCTCTTCTCTGCTAAAGTTCCCCCATGTGTATTTCCCAGATATATTTGTTTATCTAAAACGTTTTTTGCTTCTCGCAGGTACCTGGAGCAGCAGATCTTGTGGTTAGAGTGGTTTTAGCTGTTAGCAATCGATTAAAAGTAAAGCAGCAATTTCTAGATATTTTCCATGGTCAACGCTATCCAGCGGAGTTTCCATATAAGTCTGAGGTAAGATATAGTGGGGCTCTAGATTCCAAAACGAAATTAGCACTCCTTCCAAAAATTTTGGTTGATTAGTTAATTAACATTTTTCTTTTTCTTCGACATCTGTCTGTTTGTGATCATACTAGTAAGGGAATGATGACTTCAGTATTTAGGATATATATCTTGTGTAGACTTAAAGAGGTTGTTGTTCATAGGAGTGGTACTGTGACTTCTGGATGGCATCAGTTGTCTATTGAATTGATACGGTTTCCTCCCCCACTTCTTTCCCCTTTACTTTGGACTTCATGCTTGATATTGCTTGAATAACCTTTGCCTATGTGAATGAATGGAGCTATAATATGATATAATGTGTTGGGGAAATTTTCCATTTTTACACACCTTTTCATTTTCCAATTTTTGGTTAATTATTTGAATTATTTGAACCAATTCCTACATAATGAACGTTTCGTATGGCATATAGAATAAAAGTGGGAGGAAATTACTCATGCAATACAGATTTTCACTATTTTTTGAAACTATTTTTCTTTTTTATCTAATTGTTTTCCTTTCTTTATATTCCGTTTATGTTTTATTTGTTAAATTGGATCAATCCTTTTATTGTAGGTGGTCCTATTGTTTCAAAAAATTGAAGGTGTAGATGTTTGTCTCTTTGTTATGTATGTCCAGAAGTTTGGATCAGATTGCAGACCACCCAATCAGCGTTGCGTCTACATTTCGTATCTTGATTCGGTTAAGTATTTTAGACCTGAAATTAGAACTGCTACTGGTGAGGCTCTACGTACCTTTGTATATCATGAGATATTGGTAATTGCTCTGTCTCCTACTACATTATTTTTTCCTCTCTTTGTTTGGCAACTAGAGTTGCTAATGGAACATTTGACTTGACTGAGCTATTATCTTTTCATTTGCTGTGACTGCAGATTGCATACCTTGATTACTACAAGAAATGTGGTTTTACAACTTGCTATATATGGGCATGCCCACCTATAAAAGGGGAAGATTACATTTTATATTGCCATCCAGATACTCAGAAAACACCAAAGTCAGATAAGCTGCGTCACTGGTATATATCTTTCTTTATTCCCCCTTTCCTCTCTTTCTTGTGTGGAGTGTTAAAATATAACATGACACGGAGGGAGTATTCATCATGCTATACTTTGTCAATATTTTTGGTTAGGTGGCTTTCCAATATATATATGTGTTCCTAAGTGCTCTGATGTCAGCATGAATAAGTTCATTATAAAAGTTGGACTACTAATTCAAATAATTGCCTGTTTGTCTTTAAAATTTTGCTGTCATGTTTGTCAGAGAATTTTTCTGTGTGCAGGTATAAGTCAATGATTAGAAAAGCAGTAGAAAAGAAAGTAGTGGTTGATCACACCAATTTTTATGACCACTTTTTTGTGCCGAATGTGGAATGCAATGTCATGATAACGGCGGCTCGCTTACCTTACTTTGATGGAGCCTATTGGTCAACTGCTGCTGAGGATGTGATGCAAAATATTGGAAAAGGAAGTGGAGGGGGATCTGAGAAGATGGTGCAAAAGCTAATCACACGGAGAACTTTAAAATCAATGGGACATGGTGATCTTTCAGCCGATGTAACAAAAGATTTGATGGTGATGGAAAAGGTAGGGATTTCGTAGAGAATTCTTGATCTCACAGTTCATGTGTAAACTTGGACTTTACATACTTTATAATTGTTATTTACATTATTGGAGTTGGTGTATTATTTTTTAAGAGTAAGTAAAGTATGTAAATTTTATGCTTGAAAGTGCTGAGGTCTCATTATTTAAAGCCAGTGCCTGGAAACACATGGATGTCAGATTAGACCAGGACGAAGCTTGGTTAACATTAGAGTTGAATGATATGGTCTCCCCTTGCTGAACTCCTTGTCAATTAATTGAAAGGAAAAATTCATCACTAAACAGGAAGAAAGTTGAGTTGTTTAGGTTTCAATGAAGGAATTTCTGTGAATTATTTCCACAGAAAATTGAATGGAAAATTCAGGATCTAACCCACCTTGCCCGGTCAACACGCGAAGAGTAGTGTGTTAGTTTTATATGTAGCTTAAAAACAAATTCAACAAAAGAAACATTATTTTAAGGTAAATTTCATATCTGATCGTGGATATTTGTCATATTATTTTCTTGTTCTTTTCCATCGCGTATTCTTTGGTTATAGGTAACCTTGTTGATCTTGGGCTTAGTTTTTGCATCATTTCTTCAACAACATTGTTATCCATTGAAGACATTCAAATCTACTTAAAAACATTGATTAATGTACAGATATGTATAAGCTAAATATGTAAATGGATACTGTTGTAGTTGATACTCGGAATTTGTTTTCAGCTTGAGAAATTCTACTGGTCATTTTTCTTCCCTTTATTTTTGGGTTAAGTTGAAAATTTTGATGTTCTAAGGGGCCTCCATTAGAAAGGTTAAAAACTGATTACTTTTGTCTTCTGTTGTATCATCTACTGATGCAAGGTGTTTTCCTGTTTTACCCTGGTTGATAGGTGGGGCAGACCATCCTACCTACAAAGGAAGACTTTATCGTTCTCCACTTGCAGTTCACTTGTACAAACTGCCACGAAGCGATACTATCTGGAAGTTGTTGGGCTTGTAAACAATGCAAAAAATTTCATTTATGTGTAAGGTGATTATATCTTCAACGTCGTGCTTTGCCTTTCTATTTTCAATTATTGACATTCTAGCTAGAAACATTGTTCTTTATTTTGGTTCCCCTGTCAATTTGTGTTTTTGTTCTTTTGGGTCTTATAGTAACCAAGCTCTACATAAGATAAAAATAAATGCTGCTAGTGCAATGGCTAATAATATTTTTGAATTGCTTCATATTCTTAGTCACAATAGGGAAGTATTAATGCTTAAAGAGATTAAATGCTTCATTACATTCACATAAATTGTTTCAGCACCATGACTGACATTTATTGATTCACGTAACAACTATTTGTTTACCAATATACTTTCCTCGGGAATTGGGAAATATTAGCCTTCCTCTTGAATCATGTCATATTATTACGAAGATCTTAAAAATAAAACCATTCATGCTAAAGCAGTAAATACTTAAATTAGCTTTTTCTACAATCATGTGTCTATAAATATGTCCTACTGACCAGTTGGAAGCTCTTTCCTTTCTTAATCCTTTAGCTGAAAATCTTGTAGCTTTCAGTTTGTGTATCTTTTCAAGGTGTACACTATCTTCATTTGGTGGATTGAGAATCTATACATAATGAATGCTTTGGAAAGTTAAATCAAACTTCACATTGTGAGACTTTTTATGGGGAAGAAGTAATAACGATCAAGGCCAGTGAAACCAGTAGGCCCATACCAAGATACCCCAACATGCACTATAGATTTATTGGGAAATTAAAAATAAAATCATTCCGAACCAGGGGAAGAATTGTAGGGTCTGTGGCACATGAATAGAAAGGTTGAAATGTTATGTATTTCTACAGTTTGTAGATTTATTACTTGTCACATAAGTTGGAATCTACCTTGTATTTATTCCTCTGCAAATGATAGGTAAGAATCATTATAAGATAAAATTCTGTAATCAATATTACAATTTTGATAGCACTAAATGCGCTTTTTCATTTATTTGGGGATGGTTTTTCGGAGAAATTGCAATTTATAACGCCAAACCTATTGTTGTCAGTCTTCTGTGTGGTGGGAAAACAGGACATTACCTCTGGAAACAAAGTATCATTTAGTTCAGAGGTGTCTCATGTTCAGTCAAGATAATAACAAAAATTGTTATCAAATTAGGATTTGTGCTCTCCCAATGCATATTCTCTGTGTAACACAACCTTTGCGTCTCGAAGGATTTGTGTAATGACCTTTCATTGATTTGATGAAGAAATTTCTGAAAGTAGATTCTATATTCTTACTCTTTTGTTTCTATCTCAGATGCCTTGAAGTAAAAAGTCCTACTGAGTTGAAAACACACACTTCCATCAGTGGAGAAAAACATCTACTGTCCCAGGTAAATTCCAAATCTTCAAAGTGTATTGCAGACAAATTTCATTGTTTTGAAAACAATTCACCACTTCAAATTCATTCTTCTTGGGGTGCTATTCCTTCTCCAGATTTTGGTGAATGACGTACTTGTGGACACGGAGGATAAAGATGTCATTTTAGATAATGATATCTTTACCGACAGACGCTCTTTCTTGAGCTTTTGTGAGGAAAATAATTATCAATTTGATACACTTCGCCGTGCAAAACATTCATCTATGATGATCCTGTATCATCTCCACAAGATGACCACATTAACCAAGCAGAGAACCTGCAGCCTTTGTCACAATGACGTCGTGTTGGAATGGCGCTGTGAGATTTGTCCAGGACTCGATGTTTGCTCTATGTGCTATTCAAAAGAAGGTGAAGGCTGTCATGTCCACCCGCTAATTCCGCATGTGCTGGAAGCTTACAGCGAAACAAAGAATAAACGAGAACTCGAGAATCGCAAAGCATTTAAGGTATGGTAGATATCTATCATATACTTGGTTAATAAGATTACAAAAATGAATATGATAAAACTTTTGATGCAGAAAAAAGAAATGTTGGATCTTCTAGAGCACGCTAATCAGTGTCAAGCAACAAGAGACAACCCTTGTTCACGTCGTAATTGCGTTCATATCAAATGGCTTTTTCGCCACTCGTGCGAGTGTGAAATTCGATTAGCCGGCAATTGTAAAAAGTGTAAGAGAATCTGGTATCTGCTGCTTTTGCACTCAGAGGAATGCAAAGACTCCAATTGCCATATGCCTCGCTGCCTGTATGTTGTTATTTTCATCCACGTCTTTCTTGCTTCCTCGCTGCGCTGATTTCGATTTCTATCTTACAATAAATATTAATATTATGCAGGGATATCAAAAAGAGGAAGCAAGTCGTCAACCGGGGGTAGCCTCTACATAACTGGACTGCTCAAATATAAGTACAGTATCAGAACAAACATTTGTATGCTAAACTAATATTACACAAAACATTCGAGATAGTAAACAGTGTATGGTTACAGAAGTTGTACAGAAATAGTTTATATAAATTTAGTATTCCTTTCTTCGACTATTCTCTGTTGTCCAGTGCAGTTTGTTGCTTGATGACTTAATTCTTGTCTATGTACTTGCAATTTCAGGGACTTGATTTTGCTTTACATTAGTCCAAACAATTTGGTTTCTTTTTTAAAAGAACCTGACTAGCACGAATGCAATAACCTAGCTTCGATGAAAATTAGTGAATTGAAGTTTGCTTCAGTAAACAAACACAAGGCGTCGTGTACATAAAATGAAATAAAAGAATAAAATAGGAAAATAATTGTGACTTTGCAATATTTGCAATATATATATATATATTGAAACTAGTTTCTTGCCTGTGTAATGCATGGATTGTATCATATTGATTGTAATGTTAGCGTCATTAATATTGATATGAGTTAAGTGTATAAGTAGCAAATGAATTAGAACTAATTTTTCGTTCTGCATGGAAATGTGAATTTTGAAGTTCACAAGATCGGAATGTTAGATCAAAGGCGAAACAGAATGAAACAAATATGTAAATAATATAATAGGCCTGGCTAGACAATATGGCGTAAAAGTATAAAGTTATCCTTTTAAATGAATGCAAAACAAACCTAAGATTCGTGATTACATCAATTGTGGTCAAAGAGATATGGGGAAAGCTAGTCCCAAATGCTCTGCTACGGTATAGTTCCACACTTTCTCATGTTTGACTTTTTTGGCATTAACGACATTTTCCATAGATCGAAAAAATGAAGCAGTTATAGCTTATAATCCAATACAACAGTAGGCAAGGGCAAGCAAATGCGAGAAGGCCATTAAACTTGCCAGGCTTAGTCTCAGAGTGGAAAAGAAGCTAATATTTAGGCTGTTCATGCTTAAAGATACTAGAAACTCCTATGCTCTCGAGATTGTGATTACTTAGAGAAACCATGTTGATAAAACTTAATGGTTCAAGGAGTAGTTTTAATGTATTGAACATACCAACGACTTTATATATATTATGCAAGAGAATTTTATAGAGAAAGTAAAGGGTTCCGTTGTTCTGATGGAAAAATGTGCCTGATTTATCAACTGAACTGCACAGGTGTATTCTGCATTGAATTGGATCAATACTTGAATCGTCTTCATCTATTTCTTTATACCTTATTTATTTGTTAGAGATTAATTTGAGATCAAAATGAAGTGGTCTATCTTCTCATTTTACTTTCAATGACTCTTCTTGTCTGAAGATTTAGTTTTTGTATCTGATATTGTTTTGATTGATTCGCCCATTAACCAACCAATGAGATGGGCAATGAGGTTGAGGATGGCTTTATATTTAGCACAAGCATTGGACTATTGCAATAGTTAAGGCCGAGCACTATATCATGATCTCAATAGTTACAGTGTTTTTTTGATTAAGTACTTCGATTTGCCTACTATTTCCCAAGTATTGTCCTCTATAGATTTGTAATTACTTTTCTATTGTCCACTATTGACCCCAATAAATGTTGCCGACAGATACCGGACCCACCCACATACACGTGAGCGGAAGTCCAACAAGCAAAGACACGTGGACAGTCTAAAAAGGACAGATCAAGGGCATGGGAGTAGCTCAACCATGAGAGACGAGAACGTTCGAAATCTGAAGGAATGATCGTAGACCGATTGTACAATAATTACCAATCGATGTTTGCTAACGTGTATCTAAAAATATATGAACTCGTTTATGTTGCAAGATAATAAGAAAGAGAGAGAATTGAGTAAATTATGGTTTCTTGTATTGATTCTTACATTAGCCCTTGTATGAGGTACATGAGGGAGTATTTATAGTTTCACTAGTTAGATCGTGACCTTTGGTTCGGGGTACACGTGGCCTCATCTGGTTGAGTTACATGTCAAATTGTAGGCATCAGCCGCACCTAGCTTGTTATACATTTATTGATTAACAGAGCCGCCTCTACTAGTGAAAAGACTTAACATTTACACTCATGACAAACGTCCTATCAATCATTCAAGTAAGATCTTTGTGCGGAAGATCTCTTGGGAGAGGTGTCTATGGAAGATGTTGCTTTGTGCTTCGGATGCTGTCATCTCGGCTACAGAGCTTCGACAAATAGGGCCTCGGCATATGGGCTTCGGAAGCTCCTCATGAGGCCATGATAAATGGGCCTCGGTGTATCTGGGCCTAGGTATCTGTGGACCTCGGCTATGCAAATCACCTCGGACTGAGTGCTGTTGGAGTTAAGAGATTTGCTGTTGTTTGAGGAGTGATGAGAATGATGAAGCTGAGGTGGTCGGGGAAAATCGAACCTGCAAGGCTTGCTGGTTGCGTGATGAAGAGGGAGCCGAGGTGGTTGAGAAATCGAGCCTACGAGGCTTGATGGCTGAATTATGATGAAGAAGTCGAGGTTGTTGAGAAATCGAACCTACACTAAGTGATGAAAAGGGAGCAAGGTGGTTGAGAAAATCGAACCTGCGAGGCTTGATGGCTAAATTATGATGAAGAAGCCGAAGTGGTTGAGAAACCGAACCTACGAAGCTTGCTGGCTGAGTGATGAAGAGGGAGCCGAGTTGGTTGAGAAACCGAACTTACGAGGCCTGATGGCTGTGAGGCTTGATGGCTGAATTCTGAGGCACATTGACAATAATTGTTCCTCGACAGCTATGCCAATGATTTGATGTTTTGCGCATATTTTCGAGGAAAAGTGGCTGAATCGTTACAACTTCCAAGGCGCCTGCTGTCGTCGAATTAAAATCGTAATCATGAGAACAGTTGGAGCTTCTAGAAGTAGACGCATTGAAGGAGGTGCGTGGGGGACACGTTTAAATCTGAGGCGTAGGTTTGAAAAATCGTTTGAATTTTACGCCTCGAATTTGATTAAGAATGAAGGGTTCAGATTGGATGGGTTTTGATCAGACGATTGGGGTTCGTCCTGACCCTTTATAAAAGGCGAGAGACTCTCATTGTCTTGGATTTTCTATCCTTTGCAATCCAAATTTTCTTCCAAAGCTAAAGTTTTCCAGCGTTGAAGCCCTTTCTCCCCTGATTTTTTGGCAGCATTTCGTCGGTGTAGTAACCCCGTAGGTATTTTACAGAAAATTCATTGTATTGTGTTCTTAGTCATTTTCTGAAATGGAGTCCACCTCGGGTAGGGAGTTGGTCACTGTCGCATCATTCGGTCAAGGGGCTAGATACAGGGGGGACTCCGAGGTTGAGCAATATGCGATGACTGAGGAGGTAGTAGATTACAGTGCGAAGTGGGGGGCATCTAGGATCCCTTTGAACATGACAGGGAAGAGGTTGGGGAAGATTAGGGAGAGGTACTGTGTACCTCATTATGTAGAGATGTTAGTACCCAAGGCCTATGAGCGGACCTGCTATCCAAGGCGTGGGTGCGTGGCGTTGAGTGAGTACCTGTTTAAAGCAGGTATGTGTCTTCTTCTACACCCCTTCTTCAGGACGGTGCTGAGAAACTTTATGTTGTCGCCGACTTAGGTTTTGCCAAATGGGTGAAGCTAGTTGGTTGGCTCGTACTTCCCATGGAAGGAAGTTTCAGTTGGGGAGGACATGCCTCTCCACGTCTTCATGACCCTATTCCAACCTAGGGTAATAGGTAAGGAGTCAAGGGGTGGTATTACATAACTCCTTGGGGGGCTCATGCACTATTTGTGATGGGGCTGCCTTCTTCCATTAAGGGGTGGAAGAAGTCATGGTTTTGGGTGAGGGGCAGGTGGCAGGCGGTGGAGAGAGACACAGCCCTGGCTTGCACAGTACCGACCCAGTACTACGAAGCTCGTGAGTTTCCCAGCCTAAGTAGTTTGCATTCTTTATTCAAATTTCTTTCTTCTCTAACTATTGATGCTTCATTTGCAAATAGGAGTACGAAGTTCAAGCTGAGCAAGGAGGAGTTCGAAGAGATAGATGACATTTACAAGAGACCTCTCAAGCTTCGCCACTTTGACCACCTCATCGACCGAAGTTGCTACTTTCTTGATTTCGAACCGATGGCCTCCAAGGGTAAGAAGCTCCTATACTTAGTGTATTTCTTGCTTTTCGTTTTGATGCTGATGCGCTGACATGTTCTGCATACAAGTTCAAGAGGAGGGAGTACCCAGCCCCTAATATGGCTTCTATACTGAAGGCCACATCTACTGTGAAGGCGAGACCCCTGAAACTGGGGTCCAGTGGTGCCAAAGAGGTTCGGGGCAGGGTCGAGTGCCTCTCTAAGGAAGGCAGTTCAAAGGCTTCAGAAGAGGAGACACCTCAGAGGATGGAGAAGGCAAAAGAGCTTCGGGGGAAGGAAAAGGACCTTGAGGAGCCAAAGAAAAGGAAGCTGGTGCATGTCACCAGCTCGTCAAGAAAGTTTGGGACCTCCGTGTCCCACAAAGGCAAAGAGACTAGTCAGCCTAAGCTCCTTGCAGCCGCCTTAAAAGCTGTTAAGATTGAAATGGTTCGTCAAGCAAAGGCTGAAGAGGCTAAGGAGGAGGCTGCGAGGAGGGCATCGGAGGTGGCAGAGGAAGAGGCCACCAAGCAAAGACCTGCTAAGGTGTAAGGAAAGTCTCCGAGCTTCCTTACCGGAAGGAAAGAGGTCTTAGCTCCAGCGTTGGTGGAGGCTCTGCCACCTAAGATCCGAAGTGCCACAGAAAGCTTCTACAAATTCTGGACGGATCAATGGCAGTTGCATACATCCTCATGTGACGCCACAGACTTGACGAGAGCCCTCGTGAGTCAAAGTGTGAGGATCTTTAGCTTCGCACTGGAGTGCAGGGAGACCCTCATTGACTTTCAAATGAGGACCCTGTCCTTGGAAAAGAAGAAGACCTCCCTTGCAGAGGAGCCGAGGCGGATGAAGCGAGGGCTCAAAAACTTGAAGATATGGCTAAGCTGGAGTCTACCTTGGCTCAAATCGAGGCGCTGAAGAAGGAGATATATGAGTCCCAGTGCGAGGTGGCCTCCTTGACCAAGAAAGTGGAGGTTTTCAATGACCACCAGAAGGTGACTGCCGAAACCTTGGAGAAGGCAAACATGGAGCTGGCAGGGGCCTAAGATGGGTACAAGTTCTTGGAGGGCCAGATTAAGTGGTGCGT